TCTTCGAAAGGTCTTAAAGGACAGCTATTTGTCTCAGAAATCCTTTGGTCATCTTCTCTTCACTGCATCTGGGATTCCTCCAACATCCTGCAGATACTGCCAGACAATAAATACTTTCCTCCAGTGCATGACTTATGCAATCTGCACTTGCATGCTCCATTTCTCCCCTCAGAGCCTGCACATGTGAGGGTGTCCTATCTCAAGCTAGTATTCTTGGAAATTTTTCAGCTCACTTGGTCATTAACAGTCAGCCTCATTACTCAGGCCAGTATTATCCCTCAGATTCAACGTGTTTCTGCAACACTTTAGTTTCCTTAAAGGTGCAGAAGGAAATGAACACATCAGTTCTCTCTTCATGTTTTCTAGTCAGATCTTAGTAAAATTCAGGGGAGACAGTGAGCCGGTGAAGAAGTTTTCAGATTTATGTGCTCTGTGTCTCTCCCAGACCTCAGGAACTCCTCATCCATCTTTTTGCCCTACCCGCCTCTATGGCACCCTTTCAAGTAAGAGCAGAGGAATTAAAGCTTAGTGGGAGGGCTCTTTAGTCCCAGAATAAGCTGCACATATACATAAGTCTCTCTTGGACCACTGAAAGCACATAGTTTTGCCTGTAGCCATGGATGTTCCCTTAAGAGAAGTGGCGGAGATAAAAATGTGCATAGTGCAGCTTGGAGGAAAGGCTCGGCGTTCTTTTGTCCGCCTCCCATCCTTCGCTTGCTCTGATATTCCTCTGATAGCTGCAGGGAACTTTAGGGTAACACATGGACTCTCACAAAATGCACACACACCACTCTCTCGTGGACCCGCTCCCTTTTTTGAGGAATGGTCATTCCTGTTAATGGCTACTCTCTTTAAGTTATGCAATGAAACTTTCTGCCAAATTTGTACTTAAGGTTGTACTTTTGCAGCTGACCCTGGAAAACAAAGTAGAAATGCGGCGGTAAAACACGGCAGACACATTGTGGTGCAATTACAGGGTAATTATTACTGCTGTGCACTCAGTCTGCTGCGGCTGACCTAATCTGGCATTTTAATCAGGATGAAAGACACAGAGTTGAACCGAGCTCTGGTGCCGCTGAGGGGATGGCGCTTCCAACCACTGCATGGGATCTCTCATGTTATTTTGGCTTGTGCGGACACATGCTGGATGTGGCCTGTAGCCAGATCCACAGTGTGTGTGTGTGTGTGTGTGTGTGCGTGTGTGTGCGTGTGTGTGTGTGTGTGTGGGGGTGTGTGCGTGCGTGTGTGTGTGTGTGTGTGTGTGCGTGTGTGTGTGTGTGTGTGTGTGCGTGCGTGCGTGCGTGTGTGTGTGTGTGTGTGTGTGTGCGCGTGTACGTGTGTGTGTGTGTTTCGCGACATGAGTTGATGGCAAAAAAACAAAACATTTATTACTCAGAAATGTTATTTGAACTTAATGGACATTGGAATATTAATTTCTACTTCTCACTGAAAATTCTCATATAAAACATTAATTTAACTTTAAAACAGTTTTGGAAATTCTCATAATTATTTTTTTTGTTTCAATTATTTTCTGTTTTGTTTTTTTCATTTTGTTTGTGTCCCATGCCACTGTGGTGTTACGCGACAGTTTACGGTTGATTGAATGGAAATGAACCCAGTCCACATCATCATCCCCCCACCATTATGCCTGACAGTCAGTGTCAGGTGTTTCTTTATATACGATTTAGTTTTCCCAGGTAATTAATGCATTTCGGTGCTTTAACCCCCTACAGGAAGGGGTTGCAGATTTGCAACAACTTAAACAGTCTTTTCAAATAATTTGACCCTGAGAGGGTTAATCTAACAACCAGAACAACCCAAGTGAGTCATGCGCCTTCAGCTTTTCTCATTGCATCGTCATGAACTTCATAGTTTGAAATGCTCTGAGCATTGCACAGTTTGACCTTGGAGATACATTTGAGGACGATTGTTGAAGAAGAAATCCCAAATGAAAACAGGAGTGCGGTATTTGGTGGAGAATGGAGCCAAAACTGAGGAGCATCACTGTGGCGCCTGCTAGCGCTGCACCTGTCTGATTAATTCAGCAGTTGGTCTACAGTTCCTGCCCTCATCTATGATGTATGGAGTTGACCTCTGGAGATAGGGACCAGTCCTTTGTGACCCTGCACAGAAAAAGCAGGTATAACAGTAGATGGAAGAGATGCATAAAGCTGGAATCCAGCTAATCTAATAATTAAATACGCTGCTCACGGCTGGAACCTGAGGCAAACCTCCCTGGCCTCTTTTAGAGTATTTGAGAAGATGAGGTGGACAACTCCTTGGCTCTGGCCGCCCTCGCATAACTCTGGAACATGAGGCAGACCCCCCTCGGCCAGGCTGGACCCTCCTGGCTGCTTTGGAGAACTTGGAAAGCTGAGACCCTTCCGGCCCTATTGCATATAGGGAAGAGATTACTTTTACTTTAACATTCATGATGATCTTTCAGTTTGAGTGAAAGCAGTGAGCAATTTGACACAGAACTCTACAAGAACCAAAGTTAAAACATCATAGAGTTTTTAAATTGCTACGTGAACAATAAAGATAATTTGTTTTAATGCTATAAAGGATCATATTCTGTTAAATTGTAAGTAAGCATGTTGAGAAGGAAGTTGATGTGTTTGGTTATTCTGTCCATTTCCCTGCACTGCGGCAGAGGCAGATGATCTGGTGTTGGTGTGTCTGTAAGCAACAGAGAGAGAGACACAGACGGGGCGCTTGCTGCAAGATCTGACACCTCATCACACCTCATCAGTAATCAAAGATTAGCACATAACTGCGCAGATGGCTGTGCGTGGAGAATGTGTGCAGATTGTGTTTTTGTGCCGTTAACAGTTTTTTTTTTATTTTTTATTTCTATGTGTACAAACAGAAAATCTAGAGTGACAGGTTACAGCTGAGCAACATTTGGAGACCCAGAACATGATCGTCACACAGCCGCACTGCAAGCTGTCAGTCCTGTGTTATTCCTTTTTGACGACCTTTTTGCAGCCCAAACCTGCAGCGCAACTGTTCCATCTTAGTGTGAAGCTGCTGATTCTGTTGGATGTATATTGTGTCGGCCTGTTTCTGCATCTTTTCTTCTTTTTCTTTATAGTACTTTTTTGAAACTTTACTTAAATATCCAGATTTGGGAATGAACGCTACAGTTGTGGATTTGTTATCTGATAAAATGAAACAGAGTGGAGTTGGGATTAACCCAGTGTGCTGCACATCCCCACAAATCCTGACTTTTTGACTTCAAGGTGGTTGTGGATGGCGAAGTGATAACACAGCGGTAGGAGAGGTACTTCATGAAGACTGAACTATGTCCTGACACCACTTTTCCTCAGCCGAGCCCTCCAGGTACAAACTGCAGCTGAGTGGGTAACTACACTCTCAGCGCCAGTCCAGATGTTGACCTAATTTACAAAGGCAAGTAGCGTATGTGGCCCAATTGTGTGTCCTCGTGGCCACTGTTTGCGTATGCATGCGTGGATGTCAACAATGTCAACATCTACAGAAATAGTTCTACATTTCCCCAACGCTAAGCTCTGGAGACCTTTCTAAACCTCGCTTCCTGCTCACTTTGTCTAGATGAAAGAGAAAATATTTGTCAGCTATTCTAAAGTTTTAGTTAATGCTCCGTCTGTAAATATGTCCAGGTTTCTGTGTGTAATTATTTTTCTACCGCCATTTCTCTGATTTATGAAGATTAACACATACCTTCGTCCATCCGGCAACTATTTACCCAGCTTTTATTTTAGATAAGTGTGGGAATTTTCTGCTCACATTTAACAAAAACACCTAAGATCAGAACATACCGTCAGATTAGAAAACATGTTTGTACATAAATGTGGGCTTCATGTATGTTTAAAAATGGCTTAAAGGTTGTTTTCAAAATGTACTGAAAATTACGATTACTTGAATGTGGAATATGAGTCCATAGAATATATTTTATTTTTAAACCAACATTTTCCAAGGGCTTGGTTGTAAACGAGGAAGAGACCTCAGAAATATTATTCTGCAAATAATATGTCATGATTGTCAACATTTTCTTTACTTTGGAGATGCTACGAGATGCACTTCTGCATTTTTACTAATTACTAATATCGTTTTTATTTTCTTTCACAAAGGAAATATTTTGGTCACATGGACAAATTATGAATTCTCATCCCTTTAATTAAAAAAAAAAATCTTAACTAAAACTAAAAACAGTCTGCACAATAGGCAAGTCTTATTTTTGAGGATTAATCTAAAATCTTAATAAAACTCAAACGTGAATGTTTAGGAAATTAAAAGTGAGATTTTTTGCTTTATTAATTGAATATCTACATATTCATGCTCAGTTATTGGGCAACTAACTACCGAGCCAACAAGATTCTGTTATGCATCACTGCTATGTGAATGTTTTGAGTCAGAAACAGACCTTTGGGTGGGTTAAAAGGTCATTTTGGACATGTTGAAATGTGTGCATTTGCAGAAAACCGGTTGGATTGAAAACAGCGAAAGAGACCGATCTCTTTTGCTGATGGTGCAGGGAGGTGAGACGGTCACCTCCCTGCACCATCTCACTGCAGTGAGCATATACATGTGCTGGTTGGCCTGCTGGCACCACAGCTGTATTCACGTGGCAACCGGCCAGTCTTATTACACATCTTCAGCATGGCGGACGTGAAGCGTTTGAAGGCAGATGCAGTCCTTTAAAATACGGATCTGTCTAAACAGTCAAAAGTACTTTTTACTCCCATCTAGTGTTATGAAAAAAGAAAAAGGTCAATCATGAATCTGTGATTAAAGCTCCTTGAACAGCAGCTATGATCCAATATCACGGTTGATGTGATGGAAAGTGACACTAATCCCCTCATGCATGCTCATTTAAATTTGCTTTAAAATCAGACAAGGTCCTCTCACATGTTTGATTATTTATAAAGCCTAAGAGTGATAAAGACAAGCAGTTGCCTCACTGCAGGGAATTTAATTTACTTGAATTTATATAAAAAAAAAAAAAAAAAGCAAACATGTTCCAGGACAAGCTTTATTTAACACAGCGATAAACGCAAACAAAAATAACAAAAAAGGAAGGATTTCAAAAACAGATTTTAAACAAATGTACATGTCACTGAAAATAAAGAGCAAAAATAGCCACCAAATAAATACCAACATCAGGAACAATAATTTCATAACTATAAAACAAGACAGTATATATAACCATATAATAGGACATGCGTAGAAGTTTGATTGCACCATTTGTACCACACATTGACTACGACACAAAGGCTGCGTAATAACTGACATGGTCACCGAGCTGCCTGAACAACCCATCATAGAAAGGCTTTGCATCAGGCACAAAATGTCAGCCGATACTTAATTTCTTTTTTCTTTTATTTGAAAGCTAACTGTTAAATAATGGTATAGTAGTAGATGTGTCTGCCTATTGACTGAAATGATCCGTCTACATGACAGAGAGCTGAAGTCTGAACTGCAGCCAGGCCTTGAATATTGGAAGCCTTTGTGGAAACGACGGCGTCAAGCTCTTCTAAGCCCAAGGGGAAAATCCACAGCACCGTTAAGACACAACATGTCTGGAAGATATTTCCAAGATAACGAGAACTCACATCATGCGTTAAATAGTGAAAAATACACATAAAAGAAGAATGGAAAAATAGCTTTCTTTGGACAGGGCCAGCCTGTGCAGTTTGATTACTTGTTCTCCTCAGTCCTACTTTAGGTTATATATATATATATTTTTATCTTTGACACACTAGCCCTTAATTAAAAATTGTTCACTTTTGAAGTTAATCTCTAATTTGAAAAGTGTGTAATTGCCAACTTACCCAAGAAACAGTTATAGAGCCTTGCAAAAGCATTTTTTAGCCATACATCCTTTTTTTTCCCATTTTGACAAATACAGTATTTCATATGATAGACCAACGCCGAGTAGCGCAATATTGTGAAGTGGAGCGGAAAGGATGAAAGGATCATTTTTATTTTAAAATCTGAAGAAGGTCATCTGCAGATGGGTTGAATGTAATTTACTCTAACATCCAGTTTAAACAACAACTATCAGAAATAATCTAATTGTCAAAAAAAAAAAAAAAAAGTCCCATTGTAACCAATTTAATCCCAGAATAAATCCAGCCGTTCTGTGAAGACCTCATGGATTTGCTAGCAAACATAAAATTTAAAGTAAAGTTTGGTTATAAAACATGTCAAGATTTAAAACTGTGCCAGCGTTATTTAACCCACCATCTGAATTTAGAGCAGAATAACCAAGAACTGCAACCAAGACATGAACGTCAGCAGAGCTACAGATGAAACCTGCTCCATTCATATTGATTTGGATGTAAATTACTCTTTTAGCAAACGTGGAGAGGAACATACTCTGGTAAAACAGGATGCTAATTGAACCATTATCTGTGGCTAACTAAACCAACGCTGCACATCACCATGAACACATCATCTCCATGGTGAAACAGAGAGGAGGCAGCAGCATTCAGCACAGAGGTGAAAGATCTGAGATCAGGGAACAGGTTCATCCTCAAGCAGGACAGTAACCTTGCACATAGAGCCAGATTGGAACTGGTCAAAGAACTTTGCACTGAATACGAAAAAAGGTTTGGCGATATGAATACTTTTGCAAGTCGCTGCAGTTCCATCAAAAGAACCATTTAAACTAAGGTACATTTTCAGCTAACAGAAGCATGTTCGCTTCTTCCTTTTTCCCCCCCCTTATTTGTTTTCGTCACCGGTTCTTCCAAAAACCAGCGACTGCACAGAAGAACGGACAGACACGAGCTCAGCAGCCGGTTTGTACAGCAGAAATGGTTCCAATCAATGATGTCTGTCTACCGACCGCTTAGAGCACAACGGTAATCACGAAGCTGCATCTTTTATTGCCACACCTTGTATCATGAGCACTTCAATCGTTATTGCTTTACGGTCAGAAGCGCAGGACAGACACATAACCATGAAGCCAAAGATTTAAGCCGATGACGAAAAGCGTTTGATTTTTGCTCCGTCGTCGTTCTCGCCAGCAGTGAGCAACGCTTGTTGAAGGTCAAGAGATTCAAGTGTCCGCAAAACGTAAGCTATAATTTGTCTTGGAAGAATAGAGTTGCATTTGGTGGAGTGCTACATTAGGTCAATGCAAATTCACAGGCATTTTACAGTATTGGTAAATCTCACTGACTTTCCAGGAACATTAAAGGCATTATTTTTCAAACTGCAAATGGTAAAAAAAAAAAAAAAAACTATCATTGCAATGCTACAACTCTTTTCTGAAGAATATTTGATTAAACAAAGCATATTTTTAGCATTAATTGTCAGTCTGACCACAATGGCAGAGATCTTACATTTTAAAATCTGCCTTGAACCCTTGAAGCAGTGAAGCCTTGTAAATCAGACCCACACGGGTTGAAGCTTGCATGTTTATGATGCCGATTTCAACAAAAGCCTCTTTGCCTTTCTATTTCTGATGCATTAGTAGAAGTAGGGGCTCCTGCAGTGAATGGAGCCCATTTCAAGCCTCCACAAATTTTTTTCCTGGCCTTACATCCGCTGCTATTTTTTACAAATACAGAACCTCGCCAGCCTTTGCTACTTGCTCAACTGGAAGCTGGTGGAACAGAGTCGTTCGTAGCCACGCAGCCATGGCTCTCCGGCCCATCCAGGTGGATGAAAGCTAGACTCTGAACGCACGGCAGCACTGCCTTCTGCCGCTCATATCGCCACTGACACCAGTGATGACAGGTCTGTGGATTCTGTCTCTGTTCTCCCTCTACATAATGTTCTTTCACCAGAAAAGGGTGAAACAGGGGACACCTCACACACCACACTTAGGGAGGGATTTTTGCTAATTCCCCAACAGTTTCATGCTAGATTTGTTCAAGTACTTAGAAAAATATCTATTCGGTTTTTCTGAGAGGCATTTACGCAACAAGTTTGAAAATCGCACACTTCCATATCGGATTAAATCAAGATGTGCCTGTAGATGCATAAAAATCAGACAGATGGAGAGTTTGTTTTTAGGTGGGAAAATAAAGAAAGTTCAATGGACCCAACCCTTTACCGTTTTAAGTTTTGTCTCAAAAGCGAAATAATACTAATAATAATAAAAAAAAATTTTATTATGGATGTGCGCTCGAAGGTTCAGGAGAGAGCGGACAGCTGAGTGTCCGCCTCTTCTGAGGGTTTGTTTGGTTTTCGGGGGGGTGAGGGAAGGATTCAGCAGGAGAGCCCTGATAAAACCATCATGCCCACCCCCCTTCCCCGAGACCAAAGAGGCTGGGGCTGGGAGTCGTCTACGAGGACCTGGAGCCCCTCCTGCCTTCCTTCACATCACAGAGCAGCTCTTGGTCTTTTCCTTCTTGAAGGAGGAGGAGAGCAGGTCCGACTTGCTGGGCAGGTGGAGGAGTCTTTTGGAGAGGCGGCGGGTGGGGCTGGACTTTGGGAGGGGCTGCAGCTTGTTGATGCAGGCCATCGCTGCGGTACGAAATACGCTGTGAATGCTTTTCTCCGAGGTGAAGGCTGAGCACTCTAGATAAGCTTCAGCACCAAGCTGTTTGGCCATAGCAGAGCCCTGTAGAAAATGATGTCAGGAAATATACTGAATTAGCAACTTGCACCAAAATACAAGATGGAAAATTCTCCCCACGCCCCACCTCCCTGCATACAGTGCAGTGGAAAAGTATTTCCATCTAAAAAGTTTATTCTTTTTTTTTTTGCTTTGCTGTCACACTTTAATATGTCAAAAATGTGTGTTTTCTAACCAGTGAATAAACACAACATGCAGTTTTCAAAGAGAAAAGAAAACAACCCGAACCTCATGTCTAAAGTAAATCGCCCTCTCGTTAAAAACCAAATCAACTGTGACAAAACTTTTTGTTTTTGTTTTGCATAGTTCAGATCAATTGATGAATGTCTCATCACACCCAAGACAAAAGTGACAAGTTTTGGACAGTGTAGGCCGACATCTGCTGTGAAACTAACTCAGCGTTTCAGGAATCGAACTGACAGTCAAATATGGCAGTGGTAGTGTGTTGGTGTGGATTACTTGCTGTGATTGATAGAACGAGTCAGAAACTCGTCTGACTTGTCAACAGAATGTCTGACTATCAGTTACTTTAAGCTTGAGAACATGTAGGTTATCCAGTAGGAGAATGAGCCACATCCACCTCAGACAGGGTACAAAAACAAACAGGCAAACAAAAACCACTGAGGTTTAGGAGTGGCCTAGTCAAAGTAGGGACTTAAATGTGACTGAGATGGTCTGGGGTGGCCATTCATGCTCAAAACCCCTCAAATATGACTAAACTGAAACATTTCTTCAAAGAAGAGTGAGGCAAAATAATCTACTTACAAGTTGATGGCAGCACAAGAACTTTTCTAGTTTATCAGGTTGCTTTGAAAACTGCATTTAGCATTTACTCTTGGAGTCTTTCATTTGAAAATGTGTTTGATATTTGATATTTAAGTTTAAGTACAAGTTAACATTTCAAATTAGAGAGACCAATTACTCTAGAGAGGACAAAATGAAACGGCTTCATTTTAAAACGTGTTTGAAATTTAAGTACCACATTTTAAATTAGAGAGGACAAATACTTTTTTCACGACACTGTGTAGTAAAGCAACAGCCTAAAAGCTTAAGAAACCTCTAAAAAAAAGGCCTCAAAATGAAAGCATGTTCTAACAAACTGGTTAGTTTATTCTGAAAACCATTTCCCACTCATAATTATGTTTCCTTGAGATGGAATTAACATTGTTCCACCTCTTACTGGAAACTGCAGACATAAAACTAATTGCTTTCAAAATGAAAGACATAAAAAGTTGTTTTGTTTTTCCAAACAAATCCCTCCTCACTGGGATCATTTTAACAAATGTATAACTAGGTGGATGATAACAACTGTTACGGCTCGTCACTGATACCCAGAGCTTTACGATTGTGTTTATAAAATACTTTGTGACAGGACAAGTCATGAGTCAGCTGCCAGCTTAGAGCTCGCTCCCTTTACATACGAAATGTTAACAATTGATCTGGTGGGAGAAATACTGTATTTGCGAGAGAATGCAAGCAGCAAAGGTTTCATTTAAAACATAGAACTAGTTTATCTCTTTTGAGATACATGCGTCTGAATGAGGTCACTTAAGTTGCTTTGCCAAAACAAACGAAAACAACCATAACATTTTAACTTGAAACAAATTACTGTGTGAATAAGAAAATATAAAATAACCGCATGTATTGATTAGAGATGCGTCAATCGGATTTCCAATCTATTTTTTGCTAAAGCTTTGGTCTTTTGTGTCAATATTTCTTCGGATTTAAAATTACGAGCTGTGTGTTTAAGAGAGCATCTGCTGTAAAGCAGGGTTCATATTTTAAAACGGGCAAAGTTATGACAGAGTCGACACTTTAATTTTAGTTTTTGCATCTTGTATTAGTGATCAATGTGATCAGCACATTAAAAGCAGCTAGCATTGCTAAAACGGCAGAACCTGAGTATATTTCCTATTAAATATATATATATATATATATATATATATATATATATCCTCACCTCTGAGGTTTCTAAACAATTTAAATTTTGGATTTTAAATCCAACATTTTCCCTCAGAGATTCACTTTTTCATTTTTCCTCCATAGTCGCAGCTCCTATACCAAACAGATCTGATATAAACTGGTAGTGTTTACATTTGGGGCTTTCTCTGACCTAAAGCAAGATCTTAATTACGAGCTCCTGACCTGTCGGGACTGATCAGGTTGAAAATCGTTTGGTTCTGGTCAACAGACAAGTCTTGGTGCATCTCTGAAACTTATTTTAATTTCTTTCACAAGAAAAGCTCACCTGCTCCTGCCAGTGTTAGTTTAGCCTTACTGACAAATAAGCTTCTTGGGGTTCTCACCTGCTCGTAGGTAATTGGAGTCTGTTTTAGGTTGGACAGCTCCATGAGTGTGCACACGTCGGTGCGGAGGTCTATCTTACAACCGATCAGCAAGATCCGAGTGCTTGGACAGAAGTCCAGGATTTCACTTTTCCACTGTGGACACAAAGGTATAATTGTTAAGCTCTCTTTTTGACAGCATTTAATAGAAGATGATAATTAAAATAAGACATTACCTTTTTGAGACTGCTGTCCATTGTGTCTGGGCGGCTGATGTCAAAACACAACAAGACTGCGTCAGAGTCACTGTAGCACAGGGGTCTCACATTGTCGTAGTACGGAGAACCTTAGAGGGCAGAGAGGCAAAATACTATTAATGTGGTTAAAAGCAAGAATAAGCTATTTCTAAAGAGACATACTTCTCTTTAGATGTCCAGTGTCACATGACCTAAGTATTTAGATATTAAACAGTCACATGACAATACCTGATGTTTTATTTCATATTGTACCTTAGTTTCATTTTTTAGATCCTGAATCCCTAAGTAACTATTTGACTTTCATTAGTTATGAAACATTAAAACCGTGATGAAACAAAAGGAAAATCTGACCAACATCCAGTAGTAATTTTTCTATAGCAAAAAAAAAAAAAACTAAATAAAAATATAAGCATGCAGCAGGAGGATTTATATGCAACCACAATGGCTTCTTCTTGATTAGCCTCTCTTTCCTGTTCTTGAAGATGCTGTTTTCTTTGCCTCTGCTGGCATTTCAGACGCAGGAGAAGATGACAATCGGTCACCAAATCCTCATTGATCTTCCCTTGCTCTAGATTATGCAAGTGGAACGGTGGGGTCTGGGGCAGGCAGACGCTCCCACTCATGCTCAGAATCCTTAAGTAATCCACCCCCCAACTCCACAAAAAAATAAATAAAAAATAAAAAATCCTATGCTCGGCAGCAGTACCTCTAGTCCCTCTGTTTCCACAGCAACAACCTCGGAATCCACCGTCTACATCAGCCATTCCTCCTCTTCCTCCTCCTCATCTTCCTCTTCCTCCTCCTCTTCCTCCTCCTCCCACCTCTCCATAAAGGCTTGCCCTTGCTGCCAGTCAATCACTTCAGACCAGAAAAACCAACCCACCCACCTACTGTTGGGGACATTCCTTCTCTGCAATAGAGACTGAGACACACATCCAGTATATTTATACATAAAAAAAATAAAAAAAGACACCTGATTACACACAGACTCACTATCTAATTTTGGCTCCATCCAGAGGTGAGCCCAATCTGCTATCTGATGAAACAGAACAAGAGTTCTGCTCAGGGGGGATTAAAATGTTTACTTCAGTCTCCGCACGGATCCCAACGGGGATTCGGAGCTCCTTTTATAGCCGCAGATAAGGGAAGAAGCCCGTGTAATCACTCATTAGATATTACACAACTATCCTGATTGTTTTCTGCGGAGGAACATCGGAAGAAAACGTACAAAAGCACATACAAACATGAATGAAGCACTTTCATGAATATTTAATGATCCTTCGCATTATCAAAGGTTGGAAGTGAATTTGCCAGCTGCTGGGTGCTGTGAGAGGAATAATGACAAGCTGTGATGAAATCCCTGTCCTGAAGAAGAATGTGAACACGGTTTGAAAAGAACAAAAGGACACGCTCGTTTCATTCCGATTCTGGTTCTGTGCTTTAAGAAATTAACGTGCTCTCATTGCTGTCATTTGAGGCTTTGCTATTTACATTGTTTAGGCAAAAGAAATGCTTACACATAAATCTCAAAGCGTTTTTTTTTTTTTTTTTTACAACCTCAGGTAAAGAAAGTAGTTTGTCTATATGTAAAAAGCCTTGTTTTAGTGATTACACAAAACATAAAAGTGCGTTCTAGTTGAAGAAAAAGCTCTTTTTGATACATGGCATATTTCATAGGATTATGAGGTGACCAAGTTCTGCTGCAGGAAAATATGCTAAAACCATGACACTTCCACCGTCATGCTTCACAATTGACATCAGGCTTTTTGCCATTTGATGGATTCTGTTTGTGTCGACATGAGGAACATGTTAGTTTCATGTAGAAATTTCTGGAGGCACCTGGAGTGAAAGGCAGCAGGAAGCTCCCATGTGAGCCAACACAGAGGAGGGAGCATCCACCCTAAGAGGATATTATTGCTTCTGTTGTAGGGATATACAAAAAATGCTGCCAATCTAAACCCGTATAGTCATGACTGTAACAAAGATTAAACACTCAGCCTGGGACAAAAAGTTGCTGTGACTGCATTTCAACAAAAATACAAGCATCAACAATATCCACTTAAACCAAGAGTCACAAATGGTCTGAGAGAAAGTTTGCATTCAATGTCTTTTAAATCAGCACACATTTAAATCAGAACAATCAGCCACGGAGGATGGGGATGTGTTTCAGTGTTTCTTATCTGTCATGCAGGAGAGTCGACAGGGTGCTCTAAAGATCTCCTCCTCCAGTAAGAGGTTAGCTCACAGCCAGGAAACAGGATGTGATTCTGCATTAAACAACCCCTGATCTAAATGCAGCAATCAATAGAGGGCTGCACCACAGGGGCCCCAGAGAGCCCTTGCATCTGAAGCTGACAAATACGTTATCCTGCCAGCATAGAGGGAGAGAGAGATAAAAGATTAAGTAGGATGTTCCAACCTCCCCATTTTAGATCTCTGCTGCTACAAACCGAGAGATGATTTGGACCGTCGGATCGATGCCCATGCAGCGATAAGCAAGGCCAAACGTTTCCTCTCCACTCCTTTCTTAACGACAGATGGAGAGTTTCTGAGGCATGAAACATGCGGAGTGAAGCTGACTAACTGGGGGATGGCAGATGAAGAAAAGATTGCAAGTCTTGTTGCCGAGATCCACTTCGCATGTGTTTAATGGTGCAGCGCCCAGGGCTCAAAACCTACGGAGGAGAGAGAGGCGGAGATGGGATGGTGAGCTTTACGGGCTGCGAAGATGATTGTCGGAGCGCACAGGTGGGGGAAGGGAGTACCTCGTCTGCTCTGTGTGCATGAGTGACTGAGAGAGAGTTTGTGCGTTCAATCAAGTGAGCGACGGAGTCCATTTCCATCATTAGCACTCCTCGCTATCAGGATGCACAGGTCAGACAGACTAATGATCGAGGGAAGGGATGACTCAGATTGGGGGGGTTTTTTTGTGTTTTTTTGGGTGGGGGAAGGTTTAAGTGCTGCTCCAGGCCCCAGCTCCATCACCCACAGTCGGCCGACTGAAGCTGTGGCGCTCCTTCAGCTGATAAATACAGACAGTTTACAGTCGAAAGAAGAAACACGCAAAGCTGCCTCAGACTGTTATTTTACAGTTTTGCATTTGCCAGGATTTCTGTTATTTAGTTCCTGAAATACTGTCAAAACTCAACTCATTCTGGATTATGAAAAAATCCTTAAACTGGGTTTACTGTTGGAATGAGGGAAATAATGAAGACTGTCCCACTTTTTTTGATACTTTAGTTTCTTAATCATCACACTGTATCCCAACCAACACCGTGAGCCTCAGAACCTCTTTTGTCCTGACTGTGATTTTAACTGAAAATCAACTATCAAAGAGGTTATAACTGAGAGCAAAGGTCAAGGTTACAACATAAAATAAATATCTTTGTTATGTCTATGATTTAGTCTAGCACTGTTTAGCTTTACTGCAGACTTTCTTCTTTTAAATGTTGATATTTTTAACATATGCATCATAGCCCCCTCCAGACCTGCAATTGTACTACATCTCCTTTAGCTGCAATTCACACAGTTATGTTTTTTTTTTATCTAAACTTTCTGAGACTTACACAACTCTGGATATTTTTTGACATAGCCTGAGTCACAGAAGAATTACATGAGCTGCTTCAAGGTGACGAGAAGAGCAAGAGAAGCACAGAGAAATCAGGAGAACAGTCAGATCACTCTTAGGGGATGAGGCAGCTCTAACATTTTTAAAAAAGAAACCCTTTTTCAGGTGAGTGAACACATTCACTACATCAAAGTGAAACCAGGTTGCGCTGATCACAAAACTTGTAAGAGGGCAGGTTGTTACTGACAGTAGTAAAGTAGCCATTTTCAGCATCTGATGCATTTCCAAATGAAGCAATAGAAAACTGTTGAGTTGACTTTTTTCCTAACATACTAATTTAAACTGACCAATGAGAGGAATCGTCTTCACAATAATCAGGCTGAAGACAGAAGCTAAAACAAAATGTCGTACTGCAATATGGCAATATTAAGTATTACTAAAATGCAAAGTAATTTTTATTCAGTTATTTGAAAAAATAAATAAAAAGCAGCCATTTTATGTTCTCTAAATAAACTGAGATGTTTCTAAAGAGAGGGGGATGTCTTGATTGGGAACGCTGGGTCTTTTTTCACAATAAGGTTTTACATGGACTGTGGCGGGGGTCACACCCACCTTTAATGGCCGGCACAATCTTTACATCGAGTTTAAGGTGGATTGGGAAGCAGCAGATGGACCGGGCCTCTGATCAGGATGCTGCTGGGTGTCCGCCCTTAGGAGATTTCCCAGGCTCATCCCATTTAAAGGAGACTCAGAACAAACCAAAAGGATTATATTATCCCCTCTGGCCTGGGAACACCTCAGGATCATCCAAAAAGAGATGGGAATTGTGAACATCTGGGATTCTGACAATCAGATGACACTGAACAGATGAGTGAACCTCTAAAGAAGATATGACACCACAAGCTGAGCAGTGAACTGTGAAATGTTCTGTTCAGACAATAATATGTGCTCTCATTTTGAGTTAAACTGGAAATAATAGTAGCTAAATCGATGGCATCAATCTCAATTGTACACAATACAGTAAGCAATTAGATTACACTAAATTCTCCCAAACTCAAAGCCCTAATCAGCAAGATCACTGATCCTGAAATAAAATGGTTCCAAACACCAACAATAATGAGATTCATTATTAAGTATTCATGAGTTACGGCCAGTGGACACAGTTTGCTTTCCCCTCCTCCTCTCTCCACCCTGAACGTCCGATCAGATCAGCCTGATTAAAACCGGAGGATTGATTTTAGCCTGTAAATCCATGGCGGAGCTGAGGGAAGGAGCTGCCTGCCGGGTGGAGCCGGTGATGAGGTGGGTCTAATCGATGAGGGGGAGCTGGGATAATGAGGAGACGCTCTCACTGTGGACGGGCCACAGCAGCACAACTCCACGCAGTCAGAGGATATTACAGTAAAAAATAAAAAATTTAAAAAATCAACACAGAAACTAACGCATATTGCTTTAGCCTGTCATTTATCGTCAGGAGTCAGAAGTGACTGACGTTCTGATCTCAGTGTACAGAGGCAAAGGATTTGTTTTAGATTATCATCCATCCATCATACCAGATGACCTGGAGATGGACATGTCTTGTCAAGGTTACATTGTGTTCATTTGTTAAAGGTATTGATGGGATTCTATCCTGGAATGTGCAGGTTTGGATAATTGGGAAAAAAAGATGGCACCCTATGGAAAACTTTTTGAGTTTTCAGACTCGACCGTATTCTCTAAAATCTAAAGTTTCACATTTATTAATATTTTATTTACGCAATTTGTCTGTTTATTTTATTGCAAACCGAGTTAAACATTTTAGACTTCAATATGTACATTTATGATTTAATGACCGAGAAACTCAAAGATCAATACAATCTCCAAAATTAAAAAAAGAGCAATTTCACAGCTTTTTCTGGTTCAAGACAACCAGACATTTTGTTTTTGAACCAGTCAGGTTCAGATGATAGCCACCAAAACATATAAAAATAGTACTGCAGAAAAAAAAAAATTCAGAAAATTAAAAGACAGAAAACAGTGCATCACAGAACCTCTTTAGTCCTAATTTGACAAGTCTGAGACTGAAAAAAAGTTTTGCTTTAAATTGATTCAGGATTTTTAAAAACCTATAGATAGTACTATCTGACAACTATAAAAGCTTTGAGAGTATGAAACCCTGCTTTGCAATTCTGGACGGTGGATGTGTTTATGTATGTTTGGGTCAGTTATGTCCACTGGTCCTATTCAGAGTCTTAATCCCCTGGATGTTGCTGTTTGAGTGGGTGACCCGAGCAGCATATGGAGGGAAAATGCAGGTCACCACATTTTCTCCACTCCCTCCTGTCTGCTCTAGAAAACCTTTCTGCTCAATAGGAAACCACTCTGCAGCCACATCATCCCCGGGCAGCAGGCCCACTCCCGCTGGCCAGACCAAAGGTCCACAGTCTGGGATTAAAAGATGGCATTTGGTCTGGGGCAGGAATTAGATTGCTCCAGACCAATTACATTTTTATCCATTTATTTTCTGTTTACTCTGCGAGAGAGTGAAAACAGCAGCTCGTGCATGTGGGTCCGTTATGTAAAGGATTCGTCCTCCGCCGATGCACATGACAAGCGAAGACGCACGTAAACACACTTGCAGCCGCGGGATTTGCTCCGTCATGCGGACCCAGTAACTCTGGCGATGTGAGCGACGAGCACCGAGCAGAGAAAGTGCAGAGCGGTGAGCAGAAGGGGGAGTCTGACTCTAACAGGTGCCGCAGACCCATGCTGGCAGGATTCAGGTCAACACAACTCCAGGGATATCTACAAAGACACATTGACCCTCTTTTCAAGCCTGTGGTGTAAGCAAACACATGATGCCCAAAGTCTCCATAGAAAGCAAGTGAACCGGAATAATAAGTGGTTTTTCCATTTTGTACATGAAAAGTATTTGCAAATGTGTCGCTCCTTTACCAAGCCACAAAGAATAAGAGGTCAATGAGGCATCCGGTGTCCTTTCACGCCAAGGCAACGCAAGAAGCATGGCAAAAGTATTCAGGCCCCCCTTCACTTTTTTCCCTACATTTCTTCATTATACAAACAAAAACATCAGGGCTTCAATGTATTTCTTGGAATTGTGTGACACTGCAACACAAACCAGTGAATGGTCACAGTTTGGAATAAAGATTTCATATAGTTTTCAGGATTTTTTTTTCCTAAATAGAAATCTTAAAATTTTGGCTCATGTTCAGCATCTCCAGTATTAACACGTTGCTGCAGCAAGTCTTCGTGGGTATATTCAGCTGAAAGCTCTCTTATTAAGCAATGATCATTAGCTCTGGCTGACTAGCTTCAAGTAATGCTTCCTTCCAGGTTAAAAGTTCCTGTACTTTGGTGCTTCCGCAAAAATACAAAGTAAAACATACAGCAAAGTGGGGAGACGAGTGCTCCAATAACCTTCTGCAAGTTTAAGGTGGGATTTAATGAACAAAAAAAAGAAAGGAAAACAAGAAAAATTTCAAGTTTTGCAAAAACAAAAAAGGCTATTTGTTAGCAGAAGAGGAATAAAAACAGATTGCCCAATCTAACCCCATCTTCCATTCTCACCATAGTGAAACAAAAGCAACCTCGGTACGAGTATAGTGTATTCAGGATGATGTGCAGTATTTTGCCACACACAGCACTGAGCACGCGTGTCAGACCAGAGCTCTGTCTTCCTCTCCCAACTCGCTGCATCTCCTTGCCACTATTTCGTAAAGGCCGACCAGAAATGTTGTGTCCAACTTACAGCTGTTCTGTCATCAGAATAATTAGACAAATATGTCTTCAAGTGCCTTCACTAGATTTTATTCAGGCGTATTCAATTAAGCGAGGAACTGCATCTGGCAGCGTTCAACTCTGATAAGGACACTTGTTAACCTTCCTCCTCGCTGCAAACGTCTGTCCAGGTATTGTCTGCCAAAGGAGCTCGTTGAACGCGGCGCGCTGTTGCGCATCCCTCCGCGCTGCAGGCAGAGCTCACGGTCTCAGTGCGCATGGGAGAAGGCGATCAGTTACCTGAGGTGTCCCACAGACTCAGCTCCACCCGCTGCTCCTCCAGCTCCAGGCAGGCTGTGTAGTTTTCAAACACCGTGGGCACGTAGGTCTGCATGGGGGAGTGATGAGCAACAGGATGCAATTAGCAGGAAGGTGTCAGTCATTCAGTCACACGCAGTGGAAGTTCATTTAGTGCAACTAACATGAGAAGGGATCGAGGAAAACGACAACAAAACATTTCCTTTGCTTTGATCAGTCGCTAAGGTCCAACTGGATAGATTATATATATATATATATATATATATATATATATATATATATATATATATATATATATATATATATATATATACTCTTTTTATGAGTATACAGTGCTTCATAAGAAGAAGCACTGTAATCTCCATTCGGATTACAATATAAAGCCTGTGCAAAGTGTATAATAAGCCAGTGAGCACCAAACAAACCAAAGTAGCCAAATCCCAGTAAATGCGCATGCAACCGCGCACTCGGTTTCATTGCCTCCCTCTCGTTTTTCTGCTTTTCGTTCATATTTCGCAACACTTTTATGTTTCACTAAATCATAAAGTATCTTCTTGCGGACGAATCTCCCAGTCATGTTTTTTAAAAAACAGTTATGGGTCACGTTGCATACCTCAGGGTAGCAGTCCTTCGCCAGTACTTGCAACATCGCCGTTTTTCCGCATTGAACGTCTCCCACAAGAACCAGTTTACATCTCACCACCAGCGGTTGCGTATTTCTCCTTTCCTTCATGATGACGAACACGCTACAGAGTTTTCTCCAGGAGGGGTGGAGGGGGAGTGGAGGGAGAAATAAAAAAAAAATGCCGCAGACAAAAATAAAATAATAATTAAAAAAATAGAAGTAGAAAAAAAAAAAAGCAACAGAACAGCTCAGAACCAGTCCCAGTGAGATAAAGAGTCCCGGTTTCTGTGTGTCTGTTGGAGGATGCCCGCAGTTGATCTGATTGAATTTGCCACTGCGGCTCTTTATACGGGCGAGCAGCAGCCAATAGGAGCTCGAGTTTCACCGCGCTCAGACGTAACACGAGGGGGAATACAAACACGCACATTATTCAGTCAGGGATCATCAATCTATTTATTTATTCGTTTTTTGTTGTTGTTGTTGTTGTTTTTTTATGTATTAAGAATTTTCTTCTGGAAAATTCTTTCTTCTGGAATTTCATCACAGAGCTCTATTAGCCATTCTTCGTACACTGTAAAAATGAATTTGGGATCGTATTGAATTTCAGTAATTAAAACCCATTTTTAAAGCTACTCAAATATAATTGTAAATGTGAACGCAGTGCGCAATAATGATTTGATCGTCCAAAACAGACGTTCACCGTCCGTCTCAAGGAGCAATCAGGAAAATGCGAAACACCCGCAGCAAACAGGCTGAAGGGAGAGAAGAAATGCATGATGGACCCTGAGGTACGAGGGAGTTCCTGAAACCAATAGAAACACAACAGAAGCTGCTTATCTAAAGAAACTAGACTCAAATAACAGATGAGAATCAACTAAACACACAAAGGAATAAACGACAAGGAAATTATCAAAACAAACAACAACAAAAAATAAGACTGTACCCAAAGTTCAAATACGCATAGATCATAACACAAAGAGGCAAAAATGTGCTTTAATATTTACCCAAATCTTTCCCAGACCAACTAATCTGGATTTATAAGTGAAGGCGCCAAGATGCATGTAATGATTCAACAGAGCTTTATTTCAAAAATACCCACCACTCTCTTTCACATATAATTTAATCGTCACCAAGTGACATATTTTTTTTAATTTGAACTGTTTTGACAAAAATACCTTCCTTTTCATACTGTAATATGTATTTAATTTGAATTGAATGCTATCCTGGGAATAATATCAGGTAAAAATTGTTTCGATAAACTTTATGATGAACTAATTGTCCCCTTTAAAAACAATGCATTTTAAGAAACATTAGGGAAATGATCATATGCAGGCAAAACCGTAATCTGTCACTTGACCCTTTCCGAATTGATCAGTTTAAATGTCTTAATGGCTGAATCCATTACCAATCAGCACAAGAAAAATTGGTTTAATTTCCTCTTCACCTCAAGATAGTCTTATTAAAAGCAAAAACATTCCCTCTGCAACAGCTCTGTATTTTGGGAAGTATCAATGAAAATCAGTTGATTATTGGATTTAAAATAATCCCACGTAGTTTTAAAAATGGTTGGAAGTAGTTCCGGTGTGTCCTGTTGACCTCTGACACCCTATGAACTGAGATGGTGACTGTCATCACTGGGGAGCCACTGGGTCAAAAAGCACTGGGTGGGGTGAGGCCCATCCTTTGATATCAGTCAGTGGTGATCAAACGTTTTCACACATGAGCACCGGAGATGTAGTTCGACACCCGGTTTTAATTGTGTTGAAACAATGAGATAGACTTAAAGATAAAATCAACTTGCTGCCCTCCCCTGATGTCTGATGGTCCACCAGATCATTTACATGCTGATGTCGGTGATAATTATTGGCGTTTTGTCCCAGTGGGAAGAAGCAATTTGCTTTTGCTTGCAAACAGCCCCCCTTCTTCAGACCTCCAGTGCTAAAACCTGTTTCCTTTCCTGTTGTTGATCCTCAGACTGTGGGACACTGTGGATGATGCAGCAAATCATTGCCATCGGTACCCACACCTGAGCTCCTTATTTTCTGGTTTTATTTAAACAACTTCTCTTCTTCACACCAAGAAGAGAAAGAAAAGCTTAAGCGTTTCTTGTTTGCCTCTCAGATTTTGTGACACACTGAAATAACTGTACATCAAATCGTAATTTAAGTAATTTTTATCAAAAAAAACGTGACGGGTGGTCTATTCATTGTAGCAAACATTTGATTCTTTAATTTTTTATTAACTGCTTAGAGAAAGTTGGAGATGAAAAGAAGTGCAACCACTGAACTCTTTCTGACCCTTGTTTACTTACTGCGGCATAAATGCATGTGGGATCTCCCAATCCCCTCTGATGGGGGCAGAGAGGCAGGTGGCTGTGAATAATGATCAGGTATAAAGTGACACCTACCAGATTGACCTGGCCAGATTGCAGGTCCTTCATGGAGACACACAACACTGCAAGGTCAGTTCTGAAATCTCCAATTAACCTAACAGGCTTTTTTTTTTTTTTTTTTCATAAATGAGAAAACCCGGTGCAGTCAGAAAGCAGAAGCTCCAGAAAAACACAACTCAAGATTTGAAATTCAGAACTTGCCGTGAGCTTTCCAATCTGCCTCATTTATACGCCTCAAAACATTTTCAGTGGAAATAAAGACGTTTAGGGATATTGACTTCTGCTGACTGAATCCAGAATCTCTTTCAGTCCTGATGTCTCATGACAGACTAAAAAATGAAAAGCTTTGATGGTTTTTTTATGTTTGTTTTATATCTCACTCCACCTCAACATCACTCATGAGCAGAATACCGAAGAAGGTTTTTATTTATGTTAACGTACTTTGAGGCGAAGACTTAAGCCCCAACCTGAGGGAGCCGCCATCTTTTTCCTGTTGAGACCCACGGCCTCAGACTCCCATCGACATTTAAAACCATGTTACATCAGGACAAGAGTCTAGGTTTACCACTGCACATGCGCGCCCTCTGCCGGTGGACATGTGAATCTCTTTAAATAAATGCACAGCAAGAAAGAATGTCATTAGAACGTTTTTTTTTTTATTTACCACCTCGTTCTCGCGTGGCGTTTACAGATACACACCAAGCACATTTCATCATCAGACAATGTCAGTCCTAGTTGTCTGAGACCAGCAGCGTTGTTGGAGTCACAGCTGGAGGTAAATACGGCATACGTTGAGTGCATTTATTGCATCAAAACAAAAAGAGACAAAAAGCAACCATATAAACAATATTAGTGCAATTATACCCCGCCCCAACCGAGGAGATATCTTGATAGTCTCAGCTTGTATCTTATCAATACTAAACTTTGTATTGCATCCAGAATTTAGGTCAGTGAAATAAGTAATAGTAATAAAAACGTTGTGCTTTGGATATGGAAAAAAAAATAGTTTAGTTACAATAGAATCATTCTGCAATACAACTCAAATAAAAAAACCAAAAACAGACAAACAAAAACAAACAAACGAGGATCTGGTTTATCTAAGGTTTTTTTTCTAAGAAGGTCCTGTGCTCTTGGTGTTTTGTCAGGCGGACGGTAGTAAGCTCCAACCCGATCTATTAGAAGTGTATGTCAGTCTCAGTGGAGGACATCTCTGGTCCTGGATAAAAAGTGCATCATGTTAAAAACAGAATGCTTTCTGAGCTGTATGCTGTGAAAAACAAAACAAAACAAAGAGCAAAAGACTTTTTGCTAGTCAGAGTTAGCAACGTTTGCATGGAATTTAATACTAATCATTTACAGTATTTACAGCTTATCTTTCATAATGCATATATGTAAGTGGTTATGTGGGTCATGTCGATTTGCCCATGTGAGGATGATCCTTACAGCCCTTCTGACGCAACAGGAGTACAATATGCCATGCACATACAATAGGTTATTTACATGAGTTATTTTCTAATAATTTCGAAGCAGTTGTATTGAGATGGAAGTTAAGAACCGTAAGGTGTCAAACAAACAAACGAGGCAAATTAGAGACAGACTGTCCCACTGCATGGCTTGCAGTTTCAGACTGAGATTCAGCTGAACATCTTCAGTTGTCACCAAACTGTTTGAGATCTACCCTGTTTATTTTACATAAACATGTGAAAAATGAACAAAAGTCTCCCTTCAGGAACTTTAAAATCTCACGTGTACAAAAGTAAGACGTCACTGGGTGAGTTTAGAGTTTGTCGTTTTTCAGTCACAGTTATTGGACTTGCTTGAATAAGAGGATAATCAATAATATTTCAAGATTATTTATTTATGTTAACATACAAGTGCCATGTGGGTGAGTATTAAAGTGTTATTTCTTTGAGAGTTTAATTTTAAAATGATTGAAGATTAAGGTACAATAAAATCTTGGAGATTTTGTTTTATTTTATGTCTTAAGCCATAGTTAAATGTTCTCACATTATTTCAGAGGAGGGTCAGAATTTAAGTAAAAACAAACATTGTGGTCATTAATGGTGAAGACATAAGACTTTCTTGTCTGCAGTGCGGTCCGCTCTGCAGAGCTGAAACTTCTCTCTTTGATGGGGATTTCTAAGGACAGATAGTCTTCTGGCTTAATAGTAATTCACAGAACTGATACTAAGAAGTAAGTTTCAGACAAATTATTTGTCTTTAGTAAACACCATGCTGACTCTAAACTGGTCTAGACTTGGAGTCTGATGCATTTTTATTCAGTCATATGGATCTTGTGTTTGAGGAATACACCTGCGTTGCAAGCAGTTTTGCCTCATGTGTCTGAGCCACAGAACGACTTTGATGACCCATGAGCCAAAATGCTTGGTAATGTGGCAAGCATTTGACAAAGCAGTGAGGACGACAGCAATGCTCTTCAATGAAGTTGGTGTGAATAAAAATATCGCCAGCAGCAGAATGAGTTTGATGAAGACTGTAGCTGTGTGTTTTAAGTCTTCAAAAGTGCAAAGCTGAACTAAAAACACACAAGTTGCGTCAAAGAGTCTGTTGCCGTCAACTGAAGAATGAAGACATGAACAAAGTTTGGAGCTCAGTAGGTATCAGCTGCAGGTTCTTCCTCAAAGACTCAGATTGGTATCAGGGACAAAACCGTCCTGACTGAAAATATTGACTTTTGAATCGACATTGACAACATTGATCTTCACCGTTCATTCCTAGATCCTATAAATGTCTTGTCACAATCAGATTTGATTTTATTCCTACTTAATTAAGACAAAACTGCATGAGCTTTATAAAAAAATAAGATAATTCCTTTCCGCTACTTCATCAGTAGTGGTTACATTTCCAAGAACTTGATTCTGTGTATCTCTCTTTTGGACTTATGGCTTAGGCTTAGTTCTTGCTGAAATATAAGAAATATACAAACTTAATCAATGATGTAACAATATAATTCTGTGAATAAAATGAGCTAAAATACTTAATAAATATGAATAAATGTGTTGGTAACATGTCGGGCTTCGGCCAGTGGAAATCAGAAATGACAGACGCTACTCCGGGGGGGTTGAGCCAAATTGCATCCAGTACCACGACTGGTTACAGCTTCCCATGCATCGTTACGCCATTTAATAAATAACATATCTATAAGTATTTTGTGACTATCATTGTTACACAAACATCTTTACTTTTGGGGACGAACAATGTGACTAAGATGAGTGAATAATTTTATTTTGGATTTTAAACTAAATGTGACTGATTTCTATCTGGTTTTATTAGTTACAGAAAAAAGTTACAATCCTCGGGTTGGACTTCAACTGTCTGCACATTTTACCGTAAGGACTCTTTCCTCAACCAACACAACAGATTTAACTCACATTCGCCAGCAGCGGCAAAGACGTAGAAAATGTGTGCTATCAGTGTTTGTTATACATTATTTGCATAAAAGCTACATGTAGAGATATGCTTTTGGTATACTGAGAGCAAATATATGAGTAACAGATAGTTGTATAAACTGTCTTAGTACAAGAGCAGACAGAAAGAAGAATATTGCATAAACCAGGAGTGGAAAGTAAGAGGATAAAGGAAGACAAAATCGCTATTTTTTCCATGTGTCTCCATGCAAAAGTGATACTGCAATGACTCTGACAGGAGCAAACGTACTTTTAAGGAAGGATTTTAGTTAAACATTTAAAACGGCAGCTCACTTAAAGCTGCGGACACGGAAGACATACATAATAGATTTTTTGTCACTCCTTGCACCCGAAAGGAAGCAAGGTGAATCAGACATTAAACCTTAAGAGCCCTGCACTGGAAACCTGGTGATGTGCTCGCAGCTTTTCTGTGCCACCGGTATCATGGACTAACATAACTCAGCCCCTTAGATGTGTGAGAGATGAATCAGCCTTTATGTGCTTCAGACAGCTACAGACACTCACAAGCTGGCTCATCTTTCATGGATAATAGGGATCTTTTTTTCTTGTTTTTTTTTTTTAACTGTTTGGATTGGAGAATGTACGACATGGGAGGGTTTGGTGGTAAGGAGTTGAACAGTGACTGCGCTGTTTCCCCGGTTTCTGTAAACCAGTGCTTTTGCAGCGGCAGAAAGCGGCCCTGAGTTATCAGTTGACGTTGGGAGCAGGGATGTCTGGCCCCTGGGGCAGCAGTGAGGCTGCAGTTGGGTGCATCTTCCTCCCTATGTGGAATATTTCTCCTCCTATCCCAGCTCACCGCACTTCTGCTCTTTCACCCTTTGCATGGACCCAGCTCTTCTCTCTGCTTCACATGTGGAGAAGGCGATGGCTGGCTTTGATGAGAGGAGGAACGCTGCTGCCCCCTGGTGGTCCCTGTTCTCCATGTCTTGGCTGTTCTGACCCCAGCCGACAGCACAGGCTGCTGCTGCAGAGAAGGAAACACACACCAATGTGTTTAGAGAAATTCTTGAATTTCTCTTCTAGCTTTGATGGGATGACTTCTGTCATTTGTCCTTAGGAATTTCTGAGGAGGAAAACAAATTACTTGCTGACGAATCTTTTGAAGTAGGATTTTGTGGAGAACCAATCAATATTTAGTACCTTACATGCAGCGAATAAAGATCGCGACTGCGATAAGAAATCATAGGGATCCAGTTGCAAAGCAGTTTTCTGCCATCTTAAAACCAGTCCTGTCTAAAGTGTCAGGATCCAGGGTTTTTTGGGATTTTTCTGGGTTTACATTTTTGATTATTTGTTGCCTATGTTTGACTTTAGTTATTCTTTGTTTTAATCAAATCAACCCCCATTCTGTCTTTAAGTCAATCTGTTCTTAGTTATTTTAGTGAGACAATGTTTGTAGTTTCTGTCCCTCTGGCTCCTCGTGTGTTTACCTCTGCATTTTTGTAAGTTGTTTTGAAACTATTAAAACTTATTTCATTATTTGTCTCCTGGATCCTGGCTTGCGTTTTGGTCTCCCACAAACACAATAACAGAAAGTTTTATTTCAATTAAACTGTTACTTTGCATCTGTCATAAATTTGTAGCCTGACAGTTTTTGTGCAGCTTAAAACTTTATTCTGAATTTTGGACATTTATAGTGAAATCACTTTTCTTTCCCCCATGAAGACAGATGTTCAACAATCTGGACACAGAGCATGAATTTCTAGCATCTTTTTCTGTTCCACACCTGTACCCATTACAAAAACAAGACACAACAACTTCCTTCCTCTTGAAACACCGCAGCCTTTCTCGGATCCAATATGTCCCCTGTTTTCTGTGCCGTCAGAGACAACATGCTCTTTTATGCAACACCTGGAGACATCCTCCACAATCTTATTTTCTATTTTTTAATCACAGCTGCCATCTTGACCAGCTATCAGATTTCTGATTGCAACTCCACACAATCCTGTCTAAAAAAATTTTTTGGGGTATGAATGAAGTTTTAACTCATAAAACAAAAACGAAAAACATTCAAACAAACGTAAACATTATTTTCTGCTCACCTGCATCCGAGGCTGGGATCATTCTATCAACTCTTGAGTCTCTGAAAACTGTTTTGGGAAAAAAAGGAGAGAAGGTGAAGCTAATTAATGGAACCTTGATATAAGTTTAACATTTTAGTTGGCTGTGTGTTTGTTTGCACCTGCTGACTGGAGTTGGCTGAAGGTGGGGTGACCATATTTTGGTCCTGTAAGGGATTAACTGGGGCAGAACAAGGGAGATGTGTGGCTCGCCAGTAAATTTCCAGGTACTCTGCGAGGTGGTCGCAGGCTTCTTCCAGCTGATTCTCATCCAGGATTACGTCAAACATCTCCTGAAGGACCAAAAGCACAAAAAACACTTTCAAAACTCTCTTCAGCTTTTGTTTTCCAATCAGAACTTTCTGTGTCTTTTCTCTCATCAGACGCTGGATCTAGTGACGGAAGCTAATCTGTCGGATTGCTCACGTACATTTTGCTGTTTGCTTATTAATGTGTGCTGTACCTTTTTAAATAAAAACAGATGGACTTAGATTGAAATTAAAACAGAGGGACGTACAGGAGGACACTGAGCCAGCTTGTCCCCGGCCATCATCTGGACGTTGAGGTGCTTGCTTTGGGACTTCCCTCGAGACTTTATCAGCCTCTGAAGAACCTGTAGGATGAATCAAAGACAATGATTGTTTTTTTTTAAAGAAACATTAGTCTCACTAAAACAATTTCTTTAATTTATTTCCTCCTTCTCTTGACATTTAGCCTGAAAATCCAGAAATATTTTGCTTGCAGAGCTGTGGTGTGAGCGAACCCCCACATATTGATAAGCTGTCTAAAACCGAGTAAAAGTAAAACAGTACAAGATTTCTTCAGGAAAACATTTTTTTATGGAAAATATTGAACGACTGAAGTCTATATTAACAGATATGGTAAAAGAAACAAACAAAACTCATTTAATGTAATACTGGAAATGAAAGCCTGAACTATTTGACCTGATAGAATCAAAGCAGCTTCCATATTAAAACAGACTGGTTCGCCTTTTAATATAAACCTGTTTTGATTGATCCTTTCTCAAAACAGAACACGGGCTTTACTGTACTTTGGGTGATGAAACTTTAACATAGACGATGATGGGAGCCAGAGAAGTCTTGAGGAGCTGGGCTGGATGGTTGATGGTGTCTGCGTCCAGGACGACCAGCTGAAGAGACTTTGCCAACTCAAAGATCCTCTCGATCTCACTCTGGACTTCAGCTGAGAGCAAACCAGAAAAAAACACAACAAAAAAAACAACAACATTTACTGGAATCTATTTTTAACTCAAGAGTCAGTGGAGGTATCTATTCTTAGCGCTTATTGATCTTCATTCACCACCAAAAGATTGAAGGCAGCTTTTCTCGTTATTTACCCAGGCTAGAGCGAGTGTTGGATCTCTCCATTATGGCCTTCTTGTTCAGCACCGAGCGCTTTGCCAGGGACAGATCAGCGGTCACCCGTGTAATAGTGATCCTGAGGAAGGAGTGTCTTATCACATCTTATCTACCACTGTTCCATTTCAAAGGAGTGAAACTGTACTCTGAAGGAGCTAAAAATAATTCCCCATCATGCTGTATCCTACCCACCATGAAACGTGATAGGCAGAACACCACAATGAACCCAGACACAGTGTTTGTGCAGCAGAGACAGCCGCGCTCACCTGTCGACAAATCTGTGCTTTAGGAAGTCAAACAAGGCTTTCTGCATCATGTCAGTCACCTAAGTGAAACAAAGTGCAAAGAAGTCAGAAAACAATTGCTATAATAACACAATGGAGACGCAATTGATCATATCTTCATCTGGTTTGTAAGGCTTTGTTCTCTTTCTCATCACAGTCAAGTTCCAAATCATTAGACCCTGGTACAAATATTGTTTTCACTGGACCATAAGTATATTCCTTGATTTTGTCTTTTCATTTTTAGGCTAGTAGGCCTGCTCAAGAAAAAAATAACAATTGTCAATTAATGCGATTATTTTCTGAAGTTGTGAGAAATGGACCATTTGAGGCTCTGGGGCTGTTCTCAATGGCAATTAGAAGAAGAAAAAAAATCACAATTAACCCAAAACCAAAAACATCTCCCCAACTAAAATGTGTTTTAGTTGAAAGTTTATGTAATTAATTACCATGGTAAACTAACGTTAACAATAAATAATTAAGCAGGAGCTAAATGTATTTATCTGCATTTTATACAACTAAATAATGTTACTACAATACATGTTTGAAAAACATAATGAGATACAAATAGCCTAAATGAACAGATTTGATTGTACTTACTAGAAAGTAAGTTCACTTGAGCAATGAGTTTCACTCAAAGCTTTAGCATTGATATGCCACAGATAATTAATGAACACTTCAACTAAAGGAGGGACAACCCTAAAACTCTAGTTCTAAAACAAAAAATGTTTCAACGTGACTTCATTCTGAATTTTTCTAAGGCGGCATCATTATGTTCGCACTGTCTAATTTCCAGCAGTTGGAGAAAACGGCTTTTAAATGACATTGCTCTTCCACTCTGACGCAGAGAAATGAAGTGACCACAAGAGGGGGTTCAGAGAGGAGTTAATGTGGAAGAGCGTCAAGGAGTGGCAGCATGCAATATGTACAAGTGAGACAAAGCAGAGAGAATGAGAACAACAGGGAAAGGGAGGCAAGCTGGTGTTCACCACCAGAGCATCTCCGAAGCACATCGCACCACTGCAACGCATAAATATTTCACACACATGCATACAAACGCAGACGGCTTGGCATGCAGTGTGCGAGATCACAGCGGAGAGAAAACACAGAGGCTTAGAAACACACCACTCGCCTTGCATTTCAACATACTGAAACACAGACTCATTCCATGCTGAAGGACTCAGAGGAGAGACCGCGATGTGTTTTCGGAGGTTTAATACACAGTGCGACTGTGATGCAATTTTCTAATATGAACTGAGTTAGGATTTATGAGGAGACATATTGGTTTAGCTGATCCAAGAGGCAGCAGTCTGTGAAGAATGTGACTGCAATGTTTAGTACCGCTGTTCATGGGATAATCCTGGAAAAATAACCAAAGAAAATATATAAAAATCCCACTGGATCTGAAAATCCAGTCCATTTTTGACTGAAGCAACATTCCAAAAGACTGAGCGACATCACAATTGGACGTGTCTGGTACATTTCTAGGGTTACAGTTACATTGGTGTTCTGCAGACAATTTATGAACCTTTGCATTCATTTACATAGAAGAGTATTTATTTTTTAGTACCCCAAACAATGCCTCTTATTTAAATTTAACATAAATTATAAATCTTTTCTAGCTTGATCACAGTGTCTAGAGAACTTTTAAATAGTAATCCACAATTTTCTATTTGCCTGGGGAAAATGATTACAGAGGCCAATTTCTGTAAACTACTCTACAAAATAGGAAAGACAACAGAACATGCTACTCAAATTGTGCAGATTGTCTGTGTCATTCTTTAGGTCGATAATGGTGCAAGAAAAGAGTCACTCTCAAACGACCTGTAAGTTAATTGAGGGATTTGTTCTTTTATGGCAAGTGGCAATAAGTGGTTTCGTAGTTGACAACTTCAAGAACTCAAAAACTTGAGCTCTGAGAGATGGAGTCCTTAACCTCACTTATATCTGCAGTCAGATCAATTATTTCCAAAAATTGTTTCCAGGTTTGTGACAGCAAAACCTTACAGGTTGATCCCATAAGTGTTTATCACAATGCTACAGGCTGCTTCACCTCCTATCTAAATGGAACATTTATGAGATGCAAAGTTACAAATGTCTGCATATTTTTGTTTTGTTTTAAGCTGAATAAAGTATTTTGTAATGAAGGGAATAATGTGAACTGTAAAGTCGGCGTTGTAAAAACCTCCCAACAGGGAGTCATTGACGTCGTAGTTTTGAAGTCTCAAGATGTCTGCCCTATTTCTCCGTAACAGCTTCTGCACAATGAAAGCAGATAACTCAGTGGGCAATCAACTCACTTCATAGCCTTTCAGTGAAGGGCCCACCAGCACCACGGGCCTCATGGAGGGAACCACGTCATAGGGAGGAACATGTTCCGTCTGCAGAGGTCACAAACGCAGGCAGGGGGTGGAGGACGGAAGAGCACAGAAACGCTGAAGTGAATGGAAACACACTGCAGGAAATAATTTGTTAAAAATTGGATGGCTGTGCACTCACTGCCAGAGTATGAAGTGCAAAGTAAAAAAAAAAAAAATACAAAGAGACAAGGAAGGAAAAAGAAAAACATACCTGTTTCTGCTTCTGTTTGGCTTTAACACATATACAAATACAATTAACATTAAACATGATTTATGAGGAAAAAAAAGCAAAGGATACAAAGCTGTAAGTAAATAAAATACCCAGTACAGAGTTGAGTCAAAGGGTTTTTATGCATTTTTCAACACTCAAATTCTCAACTGACTGGATGGACAGACGGATGGATGGATTTTACATCCAGGTAGAAACATTAGGGTCCATGCATATCCCTCACTCCTCTTTACATACAATTATTGAAATAAATGATAAAACCATCTTGTTTCCAAATGTTGTTTCCGTTCTTTGGCACTATTTTAAAATGCCTTTTCACTACTGCATATATAAATCTGACCTGTGTGGATGACCAAGTTCCAGCAGACAAGAAACAAAACCCAGCTCTTCCAGTCCCCCTCACCTGCAGATGGAGGGGTGGACCTCCAGCCTCCCGATGATGCGTTCCCTCCTTTCCTGCAGAGCGACATAATGCAAAACTTTATTATGCGTGATGAACCCCCTCAGGAGGCAATTTGGAGAGCTCCAAATAAAGCTCAACACGTGAGCAAGAGCTATTTATAGCTTTTAAAAGTTTTCAGTGTGTACTGCAGAGGAAGCTGGTGAAAATCAGGACAGAGAAACTCAGAAATACAGAGTGGCAGCAAACAAATCCATGAGGGCCGTGCGTGTTTTGACCTGGCAGCTGCTTTTTGTTCTTGTTTTATCCTCATGGCCTCCAGTTTCACTGGGCTTGGGATAAATGTAATGTCTGCCCCTTCTTTCACTAGCCGACCAATCCACCAGTCATTGTTATATTTCTGCAGGAAAGGAAATTGCACAGTTGCTTAATATTATGTCTATAGATTGATTTACTGTGGATTATTGTCATGTGGAGTTTTAACATATTCTACCTCTTTTATGTGCAGAAAGTCTTTGGTTTCAAAGTTGATAGCAGCACCTTGGACTGGACAATCTTCATCAAGGGCCCCACAGTAACTCACATTGGTTTTCACTGCAAATGCTACCGGCTTGGACTGTTGAGAAAAAATATATAAAGCCGTTTCCAGCAATCCTTTAGGACGTAGAAGACTTTACATCAAAGTAGAGTTCTCGTGCTACTGATTTTTAAGAGATTAACATAAATTTGAGCCTCTTACCTTGGCTCTTTCCAGCTGCAGCTGAGCCTGGCGCTCGGCTTCACGCCGAGACGCCTCCTGGTCTTCCTCCAGGGACAGGTCGGAATCAGAGGGTCGACTAGCGTAGGAATCGGCTGAACCCTTCAGACAGGCGAAAGGACAGGGAGAAAGAGAATGTTCAAAAATAAAAGCTCTCAGAGGTGACCTTAAGTAAGAAATGACCCATTTCAAAATAACATCTGGCAGGAATTGCTTAGAATTTTACTGGGATAAAAGACAAATAACAAATATACCGCTTCACACAGATAATCCGTGTCCTCCATGCCTGTCCCGTCGTATACCTGTCCCTGCCTCTGCTTGTCCTTTCTGGTAGCTTTCCAAAGCAGCCCTTCCCAGGGGAACATGATGTTCATGAGAACCGCAACACTAACAACAGGCATAACCTTCTCTATCTATTTGCTTCAACACGTGTTGGAAGAAATCCAGTCTGCGCCCAAAAAGGTTGAGTGTAAACAACACTATTTGGCATTTTATAATTTTACTGTTTTTAATAAAAATGGTTTCAGTACATAAATTCTTTGTGAGCCAATAAATAACCTTAGCAAGAAAAAAATAAAAGACAATGGAAAGTCCTGGAGAGATCCTGAGATCTGTCCCTTTATATTGATTAAAAATGAAAACAAAAACCTCACCGTTCTCATCCTCTCACACCCTCATCATATTTAGAAGTGAGCGACCTCATAAAAAAAAAGCCAAATAAAGTATCTTAAAAGGTTTATTTGACCCTTTTCCTCATGTCTGGCTCACGTTGCGCCTCTTCCCTCCTCCTGTTCGGCTGCAGCTCTTTGATATTGCCAAGTCACCCAAAACAGGTTGAGCAAAAATATAAAGCAAAGGACGTGGGAATTATTTATATATGAAAGCCATTTGTAGATGGCACCGAGTCCATTAGAAGAGGAAAAATGGACTTTATTCAAGATAAAAACGTTCTGCCTTGTAATTTTTGGCATGTTTCTAATCCTGAAGAGCTGAAGGAAGTCACCTCATCCTGCATCGTTTTTACCGTGCATTAAAAATTATGCATCAGTAAATCTAAAATGCTTCACCTTGACCTTTCTGTTTGTAGCCAATAAAAGGATTTCCAACATAGTTCTCCTTGAAGGTTTGACCACTTTCATCAGAAATGATTGATTTAGTTAAAACTCATAGCTTTCAGGTGAGTTTTGCCTCAAAATCTAATTACTATTTTCTTTCTTTGGCTTTGATGTTTATGATTATTTATTCATTTAGGACTGCTGTACCCATGGTTACTGAAAACGTAGATAAAAATGTGTTAAAGGTTTTAGAATAATTTAATTTTTGACTGAAGTACTTCTAAAACAATGCAGGATAAAATTTTGAGTATATCATAAAAATTTTTTAAAAACTTTCAAAATTTCATTGGTTCCAAAAACAGGCAGCGTTTACAGTTTTGTGTTGATTATGCTTGAAATGTGCAAACAGCACACAATGAATCTGGTTATGCTAATGATCCTGCCTTCATGTGCATAGAGTATGGAAAGCCAAGTGTATCAAAAACACATTGTGCATGTGTTGTGTGGCTGAGAAATACCCATCAAGTATTCACATGTAAACAAAGCAAGAGCAACTCATTAACATTGTTGTGTTTATGTGCAAACAATGCGTCAACAATGCATCCAACTTTCTAGTGAGCTGGTTTAATCACTTTTGGTCTTCAAAGTGACAAAGTGAAATTCAAATGCAGGGACACATAATACAGTCTGTTTCTGCAGCAAATAGGCTTTAAAATGACATGTAAAAGCAACATCACACATCACATTAGGTATTCAAAGCTTCAGCGTACAGTCCATACAGTCCTTCAGCATAAATGAACACCATTTATAGACTATTAAAAGTTTTACACAAAATTTAACATATACTCTGACGCTTCGGTACAAAGGTTTTGGGAATATATTAATTATTCAGTCCACAGCTATGTTACTTCCTGAGCTGTTAGAGGTTTTGAGAAAACATACTCATGATGAGAAAGCCCTCACATGCTGGAAGCCCCATCAACTAAAACACGAGATGATGACGCTGCAGCAGTTACAGATCTCCACCAGCAGAGGGAAGCACATTCATATCACTAACAAGGAAGGTAGACAGAAATGCATGTTTATTTTCACAACAATGGCTGAGTTTGTGTTTGACGAGTTTTACAAAGACTTTGTAATGCAACAAGTAGAAATGGTGGTCAGACATGTAAGTAGAATATATGCAATGACACTTTGCTGTTTTTGAGTATCTATCCTAGTTTTATGAAACACATGAAAAGCCACAGGTACAGGCTGAGCTGAAACACTGACAGAAACTGGAGCTTTTTTTTTTAAGAGTGAAAAAAAAGCTACAGATAGTAAATTAAAACACAAGCTGAAAAATTACAATACTGGCATTTAAAGAAGATAAAAATTAGCAAAGCAATATGGCTGGTACGGTCTTGAATAACCACAGTAAATGTAGAATAATTATAATGGCAATACATTAAAATAGTACACACACACACACAGAAAAAAAAAAGGTAGAAAAGAAAAAATAAGGTTACGGACACACAAACTACTAAAACTTAACATAAGCATTGTAAAACTTGGCTTTATGCCCTTTGGGACAACCAATGAGTGTTCAAAAACAAAACAGTATAAATAAACAAATAACTGAAAATATTATATGAAATAAATAAACAGATAAATAAATAAATACAGACAGCCAGACACGTATCTATCCGACGGAGGTTGTAAATGTTCCAGGATATCAGCAAGCTGTATAACAATGGTATGTACGATTTTGTGCCTGTAATCTCTTTGAGTCCAGATGTAATGATCGTCAGTAGGATAGGAACCTCACTGCTCTCTGTCGACTCAAAACACATTCCTAGCTGAGCGATGGACTTTTAAAACAAACTATTGATCCAAATTGATGATGTTCAACAGATGGGCCGCCCAGCGAGTCGCAATCGCAGTGAAATGCCACATTTCAAGCGGAACACAGTAAGCATGATTAAACCAATCTCACGTGTTCGGTGCAGCATGTCAACATTGGGTGAAGATAAGGAGGGAGGTGAAAGAGAGACACAAGGGGGGAGATGCAGGCAAAGTGACTGGACCCGTGCACACTTCTGTCGAAACAACGGTGAAGTCCCCTGAATGTCTCTGAGCAGCCATTTAGACGACTCGTGGATGAAAAAAACTGAGTTTGCATGCAGGGAGGTTTTCCTCTACAAAAACGGAGGCAGCGTTAGGAGCGTACCTTGTTGATCAGTCCTGTAGCACTCGAGTCGGAGGCAGACATGATTCTGCTGCCAGTGCTCTCCTCTCCCCATGGCACAGAAAAACAGCGGAAACCTCCTCCCCTCCGGCCGTGGTTACAGTGAGGGGAGCACAGTGAGGGAGGGAGGCAGAGGGAGGGAGGCGCGCTCAGGATAAGTGCTTCACAGCCATTGCTGCGCTGCCTCAATACTCACTTCCCATAGAAAATTGATGCTCTGACTGCAGCACTGTTTAGTGTACACCCGTGCACACTGTTGGAAATCTCTACATCCTGGACATGTCAGAAAAATAAAGTCTCCTCATATTTCTATTGCACAAGCTGCTCCGTCATTTTTTTTCGATTTTACAAACGCGCCATAACCCTTAAGGTCCATATGGAGTTGAATCACTTCTACACCAGAAGGTCAAGACCTGCTAAGTACTTGCATGAAGAAAAGGCAGGCTTGTGTCTGCATTGTACCATTGAAATATGAGGTACTTCAAAATATTTTGTGTGGGAAAAACCATGAAACTACCTCAAAAATAGAAAATACCACAAAAGTAAAGTAGAAGAGTAAAGCTCAATATAATGAGAAAGACATGTTTTCCAGCCTGATTTAATGGAACCAACTGTTTCTGCATTCCTCAGGTTTTCAAGGAGTTTGTTCCAGAGTTTTAGTGCATAGAAACTAAATCATATCCTTGTTTAGTTTTAGTTTTGAGAACACTGAGTGAAATCGTATTTAAAGACCTAAAGGTCCTACATGGTTCAGACCTGACGAGGAGCTCTGAAAGGTTTTTAGACGAGGAAAGTCACTGCTTTATAAACCAAAAGCAAGATTTATTTTTCACCACTGAAAAGTGGCTGAATGACTGAACTAACTTCATCCATTTTCCAGGTTTGGGTGACGATGCAGGCAGTCGTGTTTTGGATGAGCTGCAGCTGCCTGATTGATTTTTCAAAATGATCTTTCACTGAGATCTGTGACATAATAACTTACCCACAGAACATGACAACCAGTAATAAAGTTAAAGGTCATATGTTTTGGTATGAGTACACATGACACTTATAGGCGTTTTCCCTGATTTGTAATTTTTAGTCTCATTGAGTCCAATCAATGATTTTAGTCTTCATTAATTTAGAGAAATTTTGCATCGTCCACATGTAATGAGTTGAAATGAATTTTTTTTTTCAAATATAGTTATTGGATAAAAATTGGTCCCAGATGGATTCTTGAGGAACCTGACTTTCATCTGCTTTGGCTAACACAAAACCCTTCTCAGCAAGATCAACTGGGCTATTCTTGCAAAATTATTCCCAATCAATCAATGTGTACTCAGTGTTATCCACTAAAACCATCTAAAGATCATTTACATGCAACAGTGTTAAGCTCTAGTATCTTTTTAAATCTTTACCAATGTTCGACAGGAAGCAGAGCTACAAAATGCTTCAGAAATAAACTGTGGCTCCAGTTCAAGGTTAGTGATTCATTTTTACAAGATGGAAAATAAAATAAGCTAGGTTTAATGACATGGTTGAGGATACGCACAGGGACTCATGGGGAGCAAGC